CCCCCTCACTGACCAACCCCTCCCTCAAAGCCCCAGCCCCTCACTGACCAACCCCTCTCTCACAGCCCTGGCCCCTCCCAACCAGCTCCTCCCTCACAGTTCCATGACCCAACCCCACTCTCACCCCCCTGCCCCCCCACTGACCAGCTCATCCCTCACAGTCACATCCCCCACCAAGTAGGATTTGCTTCTCACAGCCCCATCCCACAGCCCAGCCCCTGCCACTGATCAGCCCCTCCCTGTCAGCCAGCTCCCGACTAAGTAGCCACGTCCCCTCTGCCTGCAGCTCACGGCCCCAGCCCCACTGACCAGCCTCTGCCTCCCCCGGCCCAGCCCAGAGAATGGCGACGCTGGTGGCCAGGGAAAGAAGGGCTGAGAGGCCTTGGCACGGCACAACCCCCCCCCGCTACTCACCGCTCCAGCTGCAGCTCCTCGTCATAGGAAGGGGGGTTGGAGCCTGGGCGCGTGTTGGTCAGCGCCTCCCAGATAGTGACCTGCTGTCCGGGGCACAGATCAGAGTGTGCAAATATTCCCCTCCCTCGCCGAATCGGAGACCCCCCGCTCCTGCCCTCCCTCACAGACAGCCAGCCAGCAGCCACAGTAGGGAACAGGCACCCCCAGGATGGGAAAAGCCCCTTCCCCCATTCCCTACCGCCCCCCAGCCTGAGCCACCGCATGGGCCGGATCAGAGCCAGCGCCCTTAAGAGAGGAAAGGCCTCGTGTCCCAGCCCGTCTCCCTCCCACGACAGCCAGTCCCCACCCACTGGGGCTGGCTCGGCGCCAGTGCGCTTGAGAGGGGAAGGGCTGTAACTCTGCCCTCACCTGATCAGTCTCGGTGCCGGCGTCTAACAGGCTCTGCTGGATGGCAAACTGCAGCAGGTCGTCGTCCTCGTCCCGCATGGGTTCGTTGCGCCCAGCGCCCAGCATCGCATAGCCCTGGGGCACCTCGAACACCACCGGGTCCACCTCGCAGGGGAACGGGAACACTGGGGAGGGAGGGGGGTGAGTGGGGGAGGGAGCCCCAAGACCTGCCCCGATGAGATCACATACTGCTCCGTCGTAGGAGTCTGCCCCTCCCCCACATACACTGCCCTGGCCCTCGTGGGGACTGGAGTCAATAGGGGTCTCTGTGGGGCTTGCAGCAGGATTCCTGGTGTGCACAGCTGCCCCCCCCCACTCCCTACCTTTGGGGTTGGTGGGTGCCTCTGCCCCCACAGCCAGCTCTCCGGTGTCCACTGGGGAGGAGCTGCGGCCGCAGATCTGCACGGAGCCGAGTGGCTCGTCACAGCCGCACAGGTTGCTGAAGGTGATCCGTGCATTGAGCACGTGGAAGAGAGGGATCTCTGGGGCGGGATGGACACGAGTGAGAGAGACACTGGGGGCAACATACGGTTCAGCCCCCAGGCGGGCCCCCGAACCCCACCACCCCCAGCCACACCAACCCATTACCCCAGCCTCTCTCTTCCAGGAGCCTTCCCACCCCTTCCAATGCCCCTCATTTCCTCCACCTCCTCCATACCCCACCTCCCACTGCATCCGCAGCCTCAGGCTCCCTAGCTCCTAGCCACTCCTCCCCTCTGCACTCTCCCCTGCCCACTTCTAGCACGCCCCAAATCCCACCAGATCCCTCCCCTCCACCCACCCCAGGTTTGCAGCCCTCTCCTCCCTCCTCACCCACCCCAGGCTGGCAGCCCGCCCCTCCCTCCTCACCGATTTTGACAGGGAAGCCGGGTGGCAGCTTGAGGGTGATGAAATCGCGCAGCTTGGCAAAGTGGGCGTTGCTGATGGCCATGAGGTCGATGATGGGTGTCACCTGCTCCACCAGCGACAGGGGGTGATCCTCGCACAGCCACAGCGTGGCCTTGAACCTGTCGCAGCCAGGGGGGCGTCACCACCAGCCACCAGTCCAGCCCTCTTCCCTGCACCGCATCAGCCA